GTAAAAAAAACTAAATTATACAGTATTTCAACCATTCACTTGATAATTTTTCCTTTCATATGGTAAAGGTTTACCGGAAATTCTGCTTTCAAAAACTATAGTTCTTATTACCATACATTTAATAAACTACAAAACTGAATTCCATATTTTTAACAAAACTGAGCAAAACTATTATGAACAAAACTAAAGGCTATATTTTTAGGATTGCGCCCACTCCACCATATGTTTTACGGTTGGAGAGTTCAAATCCATCGTAAAAAGGCATGTTTATTCAGAGAAAGCACGCTTTTGTAACTTAAATATCTTCTGTGCAAATATTTCAGCATGTTTAAGCTCAGACCCTTGAATCATTACGATTGCATCACAGTACGTGAAAATCCGATCATCAGATTAAAAGTTATTTAGGTACTCCATTTTGCTCACTGTACTTAATATTAGTGTTTTTACGACCCATACACACTTGATTAAAGATGAACAAAAGGAAGGTTTGGCGTAAAACATTATAATTTTTTTAATTTATGCGCTAATTAGAAACACAAATAGACCCACATATTTCTACTTACTTTTTTTCACCATTGAGCATATATGATGTGCATTAATTTGTATACTGTTTACAAGCATTTATATTGTAATGTCATCCCTCAAATTAACCACTATATTAAAAAATATATTTATCATGAAGATTTTTTAGTTGCATGTTTCCTGTTTTTCTCAGTGCGAAAAATAAAAATTAAACCACTCTGAATAACTTTTGATCGAAAAATCGGATCTTCACGTACCAAGACTCAATCTTAATGGCTGGATAAAGTGATCCAAAACATACTAATTAATTAATGCTGACTATATTTTAAGTTACAAAATCCGGCACAAAAACACACTTTCTCTGAACAAGCATATATTTCCCCCCCCACACGGATTCCGATTTTTGGAAATATGGTCTCTATAGTTTCGTCAGGAAAGAGGCCCAAAGTTTGGACCCCTTAATGTTTTTATTTTTTTGTATTTCATCTTATCTCGAGAAATTTTCAAGCATGTTAAAAATTGTTTGCACACAATTATGACTTTTTTTGATCCAAAGATAATTTCATAAAAATTATAGCCTTTAGTAAATACATATTACTTTATTTAATAATGCTCGATAGAATTTTGAATTGTAAGGTATGTAATTTTTTACATCATTTTAAAGAATGTAATTTTACATACCAAATTTGAGTGAAGTCTGTCAAATAGTTCCTGAGAAATCTATTTTTTAAAATTCAATATCTAAGGAACTATTAGATAGATCTCACTCAAATTTTGTAGTATAAAATTGCATCCTTCAAAATGACGTATGAACTTACGTACCTTACAATTCAATATTGTTCAACTGTTATTAAATAAAATAATAAATATTTACTAAAAGTTACATTTTGCATGGTATTATCTTTGAATAAACAAGTTTTATAATCACGTGCAAAACTTTTTAATTTCGCTCTAAAAGCTCGGGAGATATAGCAAAATACGCAACAACAACAACAAAAAATAACATTAAGGGGTCCAAACTTTCTTGACCAAACTATTGCGGCTAACTTCTATTCGTTTTGTTGGGAACCAGAAATCCAAATCCTCCGAAAAAAATGTATGTTAATTCCGATGAAGTACGTTTTTGTTACGTAACTTAAAATATCATCTACACTATTTCATTAGCATATTTGAGGTCAACCCCTTCAAATCATTAAAAAAGAATCATAAAACGTGAAGATCCAATCACTAGATCAAAAGTTTTAAGGGTGGTCCGTTTTTTATTTTGCCTACAGTACATGAATTATGGAGAAGAGAATATTAATTCCATATTTCGTTAGTTTCGAATATATTACTTTTGTTTTTCCTCTGTGGCAGCTTGAATCCCATCAAGCTTCAAATTCATGGGTACCAGCTTGTCTGGAAAGTAAAGGAGGCTTGTGTGCAATGCTTACAACAAAACCAGAATCATGCCGTTAATTGAAATTACGGAGCTTTGACCTCGACGACCTCTCTAACAAGCAACGGACGTTTACGTTATTTGACTTTTTATATATACAACGAAGAGCCATTCCATTATGACCACCCTCCATCTATGACAATGGGCAGGCCCAGGTTTTCATGGTTTCTCGCCCAGGAACATGAGGCACATTAGGACCCATAATCCTCATAGAACAATCCCTGACGTCTGTAAGCTTCTTGAACATAGTTGCAGACCAGGTTCACCCATTAATGGCAACAGTTTTTCCTGCGGGGTGTGGTGTTTACCAACAGGATAATGCACCATGTCATAAGGGTCGAATCGTCGAGGAACATTCCAGTGACTTTCAAGCCATGTCTTGGCCCCCAAATTCACCTGACCTTAATCCAATAGAGCATTTGTGGTCCTACTTGGAAAACCAAACTCGTGCTGCCACGCTATTCCCTCGCAATGTGAGGGAATTTCAGGACCAGATGCTAGGTACCAGATACCTCAGACTACCTATCAGCACCTTGTGGAATCAATGCCACGGCGGGTGCTAGCAGTTTTGAGGGCTAAAGGTGGTCCTACATGTTATTAGAAGGGTGGTCATAACGTAATATTTCTTCGGAGTTTACTTTGGAGTTTTATATATTTTACAATTACTTTTAAATACCTATTAAGAACCATTAAAAATATTAATAATTGTAAAAAAAAAATAATAGATCAGCTATTTTATAATGTAATACTTTTAATTAGCTGTCCAATTTTAAATATGATCAGAATAAGAATTTTAAAACTAGATATTTTGAAACTAAATTTAATACAAAGGATTCATTTTTCATAAAGTGAGACAAGGAAATTGTAAAAATAACAAAAGGACAAAAGTAGGAAAATCAAAAATTTATTAAATCAAAAAGAAATCCAACAAAAACAACTGTGAAAGGCATGATAAAAAACGTAAAAAGCATAAAAAACGTATTATAAAGAAAGTAAATCAAAACGTAATTTCTATAACAGTCGAATTATTTTGTAATTAATACAGAAATAATAAGAAGTTTACTGTTCCTTCTATAATCCGAGTAGTTATATTTTATTTTAAATTTATTGTGCAATATTTTAAAATTCTAATAACAATGCTCCCTATCAAATTATAAATAATATTTACTGGTAAAAGACGTAAAGATAATTACACGATTTTAAATTTAACTTTATTAATTTTTAATGAATTCTTAATGTTGTTTTTTTCGCAAAATAAAAATTACATGGTCATTTTGGTATCTTTGTACAGTATTATTTTGTACTTACTCATGAAGTATGTACAATTTTATCGAACTGCTATAAAAAATTTGTAACAAATTTTTTATAGCAAAATTCGAAATGCTGTAAAAAATTTCTGAAAACTAATTATTATTATATAATGGAAATTATAGCAAAAAATTTTCTGTTTAATTGCAATCTTTTTCTTTTTAGTTCTTAATGCATAATTCCTAAATACGTCTAGTATCTGCAAAGATTTAACGTTAGTTAATTAATAATTTTCCCGTAATAACGTAATTAATAATTTTCAATTCAATTAAAAAATATGCTGAGATGATCTTTAGTGCTTTTAATGTTCAAAATTGCAGTTTAACCTTTATGGAATTAGTGAATCAGCCACTTTTTTAATTCACCTATTCAAATTGAAGAACACGCTGGTGTAAATTGAAGACTCTTTTAACTCTGTTTGGGTTCTCAACACATTACAATCATAAAAATGGTGACATACAATAGAATAAACATAAAAAAAATTTGTACAATTCATATGCAGAAAGTCATGTGCTTTCCTTAATTTGTCACATTCAAATAAAAAAGAAAACTAGTTCTAAGTGTTCAAAAGCCTCTTTTGGTTCTACTAAAATTTTAAATTTATTGAAAGAATAAAAATATATATGGTTAAAAATTACGTGGATGTAATCATTAGATCTTTGATTATTCTAAATTACTGTTTAATCATTTTACTCCCTTTGAACGTTGTGCAATTCATCATTTTTACATGTAAAAGCATATTCAAAATATCTGAAAGTTGAAGAATTTTGTTGCTTCATTAGATTTTTAAAGTCATTATAAGAAAAAAGAATATACACATTTTAAAGATAAGATGAGACAATCATAAGAGCCGGAAGAATTTGCAACTTAACCCTCCAAGCGTTAAACCCCTGGGTAAAATTGTACTCAAATTTCTCTGCTACACATTACTCTCCCACTGAAGAAACCAGTTTTGTGATGAAGGGGAAAGTTCGGAAAAAGCAGAAAGTAAAGCTCAGAGGGTTAATCATTATACAGATTTATTATTTATTTAATCATTAAATAGATTTTTTAAGTCAGTAAATTTTTTCACCCAACCGAAGATCACACTGTTGTGAGTAAAAGACTCCTTACATACACTTGAATTTTAAAATAATTATGAGAAATAAAAAAAATTAATACAGAAAAAATTTAAGACGAGATAATTAACACATGATAGAATATTCAAAAATTTTTAATCGTTACAATCATTTAGAACGTCGTGTACTTTTGTTACTTAAAGAGCTTATTGTCCGAATATCCTTATTGTTTTCGTCCACTTAAATTTTACCCTCTTTGTAAGTATAAAAAAATGATGTCGTTAAAAAGAGTGAGAATATCAACATTTTATCATTTAAAGATATTGTGCATCATACATTCACATAAATATGTCCGATGCAAATCAAAAAACATATTCCAGATTTCTGTTGAAGAATCATTTAGCTCCACTAACTCACTATAAGCATAAAAATATTATAAAGTTAAACAATAGAACGAGGCATGTTGGGCACTTTTCTTTCATTTCATTATTGGCAAGTTGTGCATTTTCATTAGTGGAAGAGTGAGTTAAAGTTGAAGACACTTTTGGCACCACAATAACTTATCAATTCATTCAACTAATTAATTTACTTATTAATCCGTTCATTCATAATAAATACCTACGGGGGCCATTTCGAAAGTAAGTTTCCCATGACTGATAAAGAGAAATAAAATATAATTACTTGGAAACATTTATTGCAAAGTATACAGGAATATTTCAACTAATTCACAACATAAAAATAAACCGGCATTGTAATATTTAAGTTGTGAAATAAGTCTTTGTAGTCAAATGCCATCGAAGTCTGTCACCTGTTAACAGTCGATAGACAACCCACCAAACTATGTTAAATAGTATGCGTACGGAAATTGATGTCTATTACTTTCTGGAACATTCTGCTCGATGAATTCTTGACAAATTGTGCTACGTTAAGAGCTTAACGTTATTGTGGGGTGTTCAGTGCCGAAATTGTATTGCTTCACAGCAGCGCTCAACATAAGGACTTCATGTTGGACAGAAGGACTTCATGTTGAATTTGCCTTCTCGCTCGGAAGGCAAATTCGACATGAAGTTTGCTGAAGAACTTCGCTGGAAGATGTTAGATCATCTTTCCATAGTTCCGATATTGCTCCAAGCGATATTCACCTGTTATTGCACAAAAAGAAAATCCTGTCCGGATATTATCTTCCAACAAACGAAAACTTTTTAACAGTTATGACACACTAGTTCCATTTCCTAATGGCAGATTTTTTTTTGATACTGGATTACAAATACTTATACCAATTTATTAATTCCGATGGCTTATATGTTGAAGAGCAGCCGAAGTATTGCTGTATCCTTTGTAATTAGAGCTTTTGAGGAATTATGTTTGTTTCTTTTTATTGGCCGTGGGAAACTTTTCGGTTGACCCTTATTTACGGTCAACAAGATAAAGAGTCAACAAGAAAGGTTTTCAGAAATGTCGAGACAATTATGAAAACCTTTAATGTTCAGAATTGCGTCTTAATCGTTGTAAGGATTTAATAAATCGTACACTTTTTTCAATTCCTCATATTCAGCTCGAAGAACATTTTCCAATTGTTTGAAATTTGATGCCTCTTTCGGTTCTATTTGAATTTTCAACTCATTATAAACATCAAACAAAATAATGCAGTTAACAAACGCTAGTGCAACAGCATTTAGGAATACATCATTGGACATTGGAGACACAGCCACGGAAAGACCAGAAATAAAGAGTTTTTCTAATTTTGAAAATGATTTTATTTCAGACAACAATTTCATCTTTTCTGAATGATGCGAAGAATTCTCATACTTCAACCTGTTAAAAAAAAAGGAACTATTAATTGAGAAATCAAATTGCTCCTAAAAATATCAAGTACATAAAATAATGCATGAACGAAACCTTAGAATGAACAGTCATGTTGGAAAAAGTTGAAATTTGTGAAAGTGAAGATTTGCATGTTACAATCAAGTCAATTGTTAATCTAAATTAAATGCATTTTATGGTATGCCGTAAGATAATGATTAAATATATATAGTTATTATATGATTTGAGCCACATTAACGCATTGGTTAAGGTTTTAAACAGAAATTTTAAAGAGTTGAAAAATGATTCCTGGTGGCAACTTGAAGTTAACCCAGCCTAGCTTCCATTCGCGAGGTATCAGCTACTCTCAAAAGTAAAAGTGGTTGGTGCGCAATAATCATGGTGCCGTTGGTCACTAAATTGTGGAATTTTAACCAATAGGATCCACCTGGAAGACAAACAGACTTTTATTGGAGAGCTTTACGTTTATTATAAGTAATAGCCTGTGATTACTTAGGATAAATTCGTCTTTTGTATATATGATATAAATAATGCGTCTTATTATTCGGCCATGTAGTTTGAAAAATTATTATTAATGACCAATTTTTTTTAATAAGTTTTACAGATTGTTTCACTGTGAATTATCTAGAATGAAACAGAAAGCATTTCCATCCCATTCATCATTCTTTACTAAGAACTGAAGATACAAATATTCTTCAAATGTGAATAACACTTCGAATGTTGAAAATAATAATGAGTTATTTTTCGGATAAAATTTTAACTGTTTTCAATCATTTTTAAAACATCCTTAAACATTGACATCGTTTCGTGAATCTGTTACACTTGCATTTGCTTAAGAAATTTCAGCAATTTTAAAAGATAATATATTGTATAATTACAAAAGCTCATAATAAACTACTTCATATATGTCACTTGAAAATAATCAATATTTAACAAACCTAAAGTATATTAACAAGAACCTCAATAGCTCTACTTTTGTCTAATCAATATTGTTTAATCAATAACTCGAATTTCGTTTAGGTTGTAAATACATGAATGTTTAAATTTCAGCCATTAACATTTTAATGAATGTATCAGCCAGAAGACTACTCTGCAAGGAATTTTTGAAACACGAATTTTGTGTTTTATATTTGCGTGAGAAGTATGAAGAACTCAAAAAATTACTAATTGTGTTTTTAAATACTTATAGTCTGCCTTTAATCAATAACACTAATAGTCCTACTTTCCAAAGTCTAAAAGGTTATTATTTTTCTAACATCAGAAAATAATTAAATGCTCATGAGACAAAACGCTTTGATTAGGGCAAAAATAAAATACATCCAAAAAACATTTGTTTTCCAAAAAAAATTTTTATTTATCCAAAATCTTTTAGTTTTCGTATATCTAATCGGATAATTTTTAAATATTTTTTGAAAAATCTAATACTTCTATTTTTAAATATCTAAATTAGATATTTTCTTCCATCATCTTTTTTTTAGGCAAGAGTAACTGAGTTTCTATTTATTCGAGTGAAGCTCGAGTTTTTAATTTAGATCAAATTATTTAGTTTTGAAATTTATTTTATAGGCCCCGCATTATTTTCACAAAAAGGAAAGGAGTAAAATTTTTAAAATATTCTGTATAATAAATACATTATGCTCAGAAGAAAAGCTGTTTGTTTGTTCTTCAAAACTATTGTTTAGAAATAATGCAAAAGCATTAATAAATGAAAAAGACTACAAAAAAATTTGCGTGGGGGGGGGGGTCATTATTTCGGAAAAGCATTATGCAGTCCGCCGTTTTTCGTTTTAGATTTTTATTACGTATATAATAATAATCAAAATATTATAAATACTATAAATATTATAATAACCTAAATAATATAAATAACCTAAATAATATAAATAACCTAAAAATAATTATAGAACTTATATAATTCTTTTTTCCTTTTTAGTTCTTGTGACGAGCATGGTTACTAAAATCTGTTGTTTTTTAATTATTATATTTAGAAATTCTTCATTTTTGTTTCGTGTCTGTTATTTTGTACTGGGCAGTAAATTAATAATAATAAATTAGGCTCTTAGGGGTTGGGAAAAGATAGAAGAGATTTTTTTTGTTATCCGATAGTCTAGCCTAACTAGTTGAAGACCAAAATATCAACGATTAACACTATTTAGTGGAAACATACCTGCTTGCAGTAAGAATGCGTGAATACTTATATTGCCATCCGGCATAGCGAACCGTTTGAATTTTTATCACTAGTCTGTACAAAAGTGTTTGAAATTTTAATTCCAAGATTTGCACAGCTCAAACAAACAAACATGTGACCTAGTAAATCGGAACTTAAGAATTCAAGGAATAGACATAAGTATACTTAATAATTTTATTAATGTTAGGCTTGTTAAAAAAGAACCATTTTAAGTTAGCTGATTCACTTGATGTAGTATCCGCATTTACAGAGACACTTTTGACTTTTACGCACATTAAAGCTTGCTCATTACTCGAAGAAAAAAGAATTCGGACAAAATTACCGTACTGTTCTTACTGATATTTCTGGAAAAAATATCATAATTCTAGTTATGAAAACTAAAATATGCGGTATTTAAAAAATTACTTGGTAATTTTTTCTGTTCAAATGGTAAATGTTCATCGGAAATTTTGGTTTTAAAAATCATAGTCATCATTACCAGACATTTAATAAAAAAATACGAAACTTAAAAGTAAATTCAAATATTTTCTATGCCATGCTCTAAGGTATCATGATAAATTTACCAAATTTTACCACATTTCATAACATAATTTAAAAATCATATTTCATTTTTGATTTTACCGAAATTATTACCAAAGCGCTTCGATAAAAATTAGCGAGTTTTTTTTTCTATATTCCCATACAAAACACACGGTAAATGTATTATATTCTGCTAGCTTAAACCATAATTTTTCTCAGAGTAAGAATTTTTTGATTAATTTCGAAAAAATGAATTACCACGTAGTCTAATTTTCTCTCATCAAAACTATTAGTAGTTAAATTCAACATTTATTACTGAATACAAAAACAAAGGCATACGAAATATGAATATCAAGCAGATGGTTGCGTGTTATGATCACGCTCTAGCAAATTGATGGTTATTGAATCGTAATTAATTGTTAATCACCATAAAATTATTTTAACACGCAAGTTAAGAAATTAATGAAATATAGCAACAGAGACTTCATCTACGTCAAACAGGATTGGGATTGTGATATAAGCAAAGTCAGTTGTTGCCATGGTTATAATATGTAGTGTTTGCCCAAATTGAGAAACGATAACATTATACACTTTAATCTTGAGTTACATTAGCCAAAGAAATTTGTAGTTATTTTCATCTGTAGGACGTGTCAGTAATAAAGTTTATGCATCATGCTTACAGATATAAGTATCTAGCATGATCTGATAAATATTTCTCAAACATTTATCTATTGAATAGAGAGGTTAGTTAATTTTAAACCTGAGTATTTCCATTATATTTTAAAATTTGTGAAATATTAGCATGAAATATGTGACTTAATTCTGAAACTGTATACGGTGAAAGTTAATAATTTGAATGATAACATATTATAAATATTTAAGGTATCTAAATTCGAAAAATTTCGTTAAACACTTGACTCAGATAATTAAAAATAAAATTCTGGATTTAAAATCTATTCAAACGAAAGCGTTTAATTATTTATTTGTTAAATTTAATTTTATTCATTAATTAGATTTCACTTTACTAATACTTAATTATTGATTTATTTATTATTTATTTAATTGCATTTTATTCCTCAACTTTAAATTACATATTTGTGCATAAATCCAATCTTTATTGCGAAAATTACTTTTAAAAATTTACATTTTTATTCTTATATTTTTTCTGCTTTAGCATTTTAAGAAAAATTTTAGTTAAAATTTAAAAATTTTTGTTTTTTTACAATACGAGTTGGTATACTTTTCAGAGCTAGCAAGCCAGAAATTTGAGCTCTCCACAAAATTTAAAGTGGTTGACAAATGGTTATTAATGAAGTAAAGGTTTTTAAAAATTTCCTTTCACTTAAAAAACACAACAGTTATATTTGGTATTTAATACGGATGTTTGAATTAAATAAACATCGCCGTGGTCAAAATCATTTAAAATTAAATGTTAGATCCCAAATTTTGCTAAGATTTGAAACGTTTGGAAAAAATCTTTATCAAGAATCCTGTAAGGTTGGAAGGTTTTGTATTTTCAAAGATGAAATCACCTTTTCCATCGCCTGGGATATAAGTTGATATTTTACACTCTAAATATTCGGTAGAAACACCAGTTTTATATTTGAATAACGATTGCTCTTCTTCGTTTCTTAAAATCATGCTTCCACGTCAAAGTAACAGAACAAGGTTGTCTATTCAAAACAGTGTAAAAACATATATCCTATGCAAATCTAGAGCAAAGTCATAATAAAAATAATTACGATTTATAGGTAAAGAAATGAAGTATAAGAAATTAAAAAAATCCGGAATGAAATCTAAAGAGAGCGATATATAAGCAATTCAATATAAAATAATGAAATGAAGAAATGGAAGTGAAAAATCGTAAGTAGAAGTGAACAAGAAGTGTAGAAAATTAAATTAAGTATAATAAATTAAAGTATAACGAAACATAATTAATGCTACTTCACAGAACATCTCACTGATGAATTAAATGTCCATGAATAGACACTAAAAAAAAACAGGAGCGTACATTTTGTTGTTAAGGCATTCCCGCCACAGCCCATTGTGAGCCAGAGGGATCATGGAGGTTAAGGCTCCACAATTTCGTTAGAAACGGTATTATTGTAGAAATTATGTGGTCAGCACTTCGCGCCATCAATATGGAGCTGAGTGGATTTCAAGCCGCCATTGAGGATCGAACCCTAGTTTCTGTGGTTAAAGAGTGGCAAAATGTACGGGCAAATTCCGGATCAAAATACGGTATGAAATACCGAAACTTTGGGTGCATCATTCGAAAAATCCATTTTATCGTAAAATCAGTTTTTACTGTAAAATGTTTACCGTAATTTTTACATTAAAATTTATTTAGTTGGAGTGATTCAGTGATTTCACGGTAATTAGTATGGTAGAAATTAAGATAAATCTGATTTTTTTGTCCCGTAACTTCCGATAAAAATAGATTTTACTATAAAAAATACAAGCATCCTAAGTACCGATACTTTTTACAGTAATTTGAACCGCAATTGTTGACAGTGTGCCAGGGTCCCCGTTCCGTAATCATAGTTCACTACAGTACTCTGTTTTTAGATGATGCTAAATTAGATTACCTTTTTGTTTAGTAACAGTTTTTGAACGAACTGTGAAGGATAGTCCCCGCAAACTGTAATTTTACCCCAGAACGTGAGTCACACCTAGAAAACTTCTGACTTACCTGCGATTTACTTTGTTACTTACCTTGACATGCATATAAATTGTATACTCATCTGCTCAAAGAAGGATCTTTTATATGGCTTCTCAATACGAAAGAGGGTCTTTTAAATAAAGATTTGGCCGGAATAGCCTTATTTGCAGGGCGCTGGACTCACGTTTGTAAGAATGGCACTTCGAATCCATCCGGCCGAAGACTTCCCGCGTAATAAATGGTTATGGGTACACGATAAATCTATCGGGTTACAAAGTCCTCCATGCTCCCATAACAAATCAATACCTATGAGGATACTGAATTGGAGATTGATTGTGGTCTGGTTCAAATCAAAATTACGATCTGTGGTTGAATGAATGGATGTATGTATAAACGGGTGTGACGTACGGATGTAGCAGAAATTTAAATCTTGGTCATAGATTGCACCCCCTCTGCCTTAATAACCGGTGACAACAACAACAAATAAAGATTTTAAATAAAATTGAAATGAGTAATGCATACCTATTCCACCATTTTTCTGCTAATGTGCTTTTTGAGAACATTTGTACTTTAGCTAAAAAATACGTGTCCTGCAAAAGATCTGGATCGCTCAATATATTTGAGAGTACAATGGCATAAAAAATCTTCTCGTCATCACTGGCTGAATCCATTTCATCAAAAAGGGTCTTAAAATGACTTAATTCCTTGCGTTTCATCAATTGCGGCTCGATCATGTTTTTTACAATTTTATAATTCACACCATTTGGGAAAAATTCGTGGATGTCATTGTTGAGTGCACCAAATTGTATCTCTTGTTCAAGATCGTCTAAAGTAAACTTATCGTCTTGGTACATGAGCTCAATTTCATCTGCTTTCGTTTTGCTGACATAAACATCGAATAAGCTGAACAAAAAACTAAAAGAACCAACTGTAGCTGCAGCGAGAAATGATTTGGCCGACCAAGATTTGTTGACATTGTTCAGAAATAAGCTGACTGTTGAAGCGATTACGGTTAATGATGAAAATGTTAATATTGCTTTGTAACAAATCTGTCTAGAATTTTTAATCGTTTTTGCTCCACCCGAAAGCTTATCAATAGTTCTTCTTCGGTTTTTGGCCCAGATTTCAAAACAGTTTGAAACTTTACCGAAGTTGTTTTGGTACTTTGTTTTGATACTAAGAAGGTTGGAAATTCCAGGATTCATTGCTGGTTGACTATCCAGCTTTTTGTAAGTTTCCCTTATTATGTTGGAAAAAGACGTTTCATTTAATAGAGATAATTCTTTGTAGCTGCAAGTATCTATTGAGTCACAAGGCATGGTGATTCTGTGGTTCCTATTTTCACTGTTTTGTGTACCTAAAATTTAGAAAAAGATTTTATAATAAATACACAGTTTAGCAATACTCACATATATATTTGATTGTTATAGCTATTATACATATGGCAATGCTTTTATGAAGTAATGAAATTAAAAATAGAAATGCGTTTTATTTTCTTATGCATTACTTTAGAAATTTAATATTTCTACTGGTATTTTCGTTACTTTTTCTAAAATGAAATGCAAGTATTTCTGACGAAAATGTCGGGAAAATTTTTTTTTCCTACTATAAATGTTTTTTAAAAATTGTTTTAGCTTTTTATTTAATGTACTAATTTTCGCACTTGTAATTAAGTAGAATTTAACGTTGATTGTTTTTGCTTGCTTTATCATAGAAAAAACAACTAAAAGTGGAAAATATGTAGCTGACTCTTTTTTATACATAGTGTGTTTTTTCATGCTGCGATGAAGCAATTATTTAGTGTTAAAAAATATATTCTGAGTGGTAAGTGACACTTCTTAAAATGCACTTGTTTTACCAAATAAATATGAATGTTCAAGAACAAATTAGTTTTATGCGCTTAATCAGTAAATATTTTACATTTTTGTTCTAACAAGTTTATGCTATTATGAATTTTCAATTTTCTCTAAATGGACTTCAATTAAAAGTAATGTTTTAATTTATGCTAGAATACATTATATGATATCTGTGTTCTCCAAACAATCAATTTTAAAAACGTAATTATATAATTAAATGTAAGAACTGGATAACTAGGATAAAAAGCACTTCTTATAATAATCATCGGTAATTCCAGAAATAAAGAACAAATTAACTTATTGATCAATAAAAAATGCGTATTTTACTACTATTTGACTATCAGTAGTGATGAGAAGTTTAATTACATGCATTATGCTTGATCATATTTTTGAGCGATGCTCATTTTAGTATAAAGAAAGTCTATAGCACATAAGAGCTCAATTTCAAAAATCATATCTATAGGCGATAAAATGTATTTACGCATTAAGAAAGAGCATAATAAATATAACGCAACTTAATTGTTCAATTAACATATTCATTATAAACACAAATATTTCAAAAGACTCAAAATAATGCGGATAGACTTTTTCTATATGCAGACTAAATCGATAGTTATAATTAGTTTTTCTGTGAATCTTCTCCAGTATTTAGAGTAAAAATCCAGTGAAAAATGCTCTTATAGCGATGAGAAGCTCCTAAAAATGTTTCATATATTCGTTTTTCATCATAAATATATTCATCATAATATATCCATGATAATATCATCATAATATCTTTTTTTACTGATATTAATTAAAAATTAATCTATGATATTAACCTACAATAACCTTAATAATTAAAATATAATAATCGTCATAAACTGCATGGTTAAGTTTTTATATATAAGAAATATATTTAAGTAACATTAATTTTATTATTCACACATAAAACTAGATTTCTTATTAATATCATTTACGATTCATTTTATTCAGCTTATAATTGATGATTTTCATTAGCGATGAAACTTCGAAAAAGGAATATTTATATCCAAAGGGTGAAATACAATATATGCCTTACAGTTAAGGGAAATACACAACTTCCTATACAAAAAAACTGCTTTCGTTTCAGAAATGTACAAATAAATAATAAATAATTGTACATTTGATAATTTTAAATTTGTCTTTGTCTAAAACTATCTGGCTATATTTTGATTAAAAATTATTTACTTTCTAAAATATTTTCACACATTTTAATTTTAAAAAATACTCACAGACTTCTTGATTGCAACTTATCAAAATAATTGATAAACAGTGAAATAAAACTTACAAAAATAAACGTGCTGCGAATGTTAGTTTCACTTCACTTTTTATCACTGATATGTGATAAAATACTGGCGACTGGATTCTTATCAAATGAAAATGTTTACCCGTACCCGCAGGTTTTTGCCTTCAAACAATGACGAATTTCGAATAAGATGCCGTTTTTGCAAGTAAACATTGCGATGCATTTAAAAGCTAAAATTTTGCATATTTCTTGTTAAGGATATTTCAAAAAATTTGAAAAGTGATTAATGTATTTTCCAATATAAATACTTTCTTTATCTTTTAATACTTTCTTTATCTTTTAATACTTTTTTATCACTCTTTCTACCTGATGCTATCATAAGGTCAATTGATATGCTTATTAGTTAACTTCCGCGTCCTTTAGCATGCATTGTTTCCAATTGATATAAAAGTGATATGATCCAGTTGATATAAAATTTATATAAAAGTAAATTAATTTGAATCGAATGTTTACGGTTTAGAAATTTAGGCTGCGTTTTTTTTTAAACTATTTAAAGCTAACGCGTAATCTTAAAATATTTGTTTATGTCCTGAATCAGGTTTGTTTTTCATTTAATAGATAAATATCAGAAAAAAAATCGTGAAGCAAACACTTCAAGAAACAATAACTAAAATAATAAAATAAAGCGTGACAAATAATTGTTTATGTCCTAATTAAACTTTATTTACTTCTTATTTAATAGATTTAAATCAAAACGAATTTCAAAAAGCAAATACTTGGTAGGGCAAACTGCAATATCGTGTCACAATTGGTTATTTATGACCTAAATAAGCTTTGTAATTAAGAGACTTGAGTTATAAAATTTTTAAAAAGTAACTGCATGGAGGTTCATTAACTAAAATAATTCGTAATAAATAATTTTCGATGTCATAAACAAGCTTTATTTGCTATATATTTAATCGATATATGTCATAAAAAAGTTCAAAAAGCAAATTGATGGAGAAACATAAATTAAAAATAATGCATAATATTAGCTTCAAGAAATTAATTTTTTACAAAATCATAAATGGGAAAGTTATTTTTAAAAAGTAACGAGTAAAAGTATATTAAGCAAAAGTAACGAGTAAAATGTTTTGATTTTGAAAAGTAACGAATAAAAATAACAAGTAAACGTGCAAGTGCAAAACAAAAAAGTAGCGATTTTTAAAAACATATCGAGGGGATCAAAAATTTAAAGAAGTTTTAAAAATTTTATTGAAAATTTTTGGAATAAAATCTGAAATTTTTAATTTAAAATGTACTAAATTTTAATTAAAATTTATAAATTTTAAATGCTTGAAAATGTTACATAATTCATTGAAATATTAAACTTTAAAAATTCAAAGAAACGAACAAAGAAATCTAAATTCCACGTTTGCATTTAAAAAAAAGGAAATTTCAATTTTTCAAATCAACTTGTTGGATAAACTAACTTGGATAAATTAACTTGTTGGATAAATTCGATAAACATTGTAACACTTTAAAAATTGCAGTAAATTAATAAACAATAAATGAATAAACTGTATAAATATGTCTGAAAATCCTTGAAATCTACTAAATTAAAATTGATATTTCGTTTAGCCACATTAAAAAATTTCAATTTTAAAATTTTAAATTATGAAAATTTTTTAATTTGCCATATTGAATGTTCCACTCAAAATTCCACTTGAAAATCGAGCCCAAAAGTTTAATAATACTAAGCTTAGTAATAATTTTTAAGTTTAATAATAATTTTTAAGTTTAATAATATGATGAACTAATATTTTTATAATATTATATATAACGAAAAAGAAATATTTATTTTTTTAGCAAATTTAAAAAAAATAATTCGCGTCAATATATCATTCAAATAAAACATAATTCTTATATTTTATAACTTATTGGCAAAAAATTTTAATTTTATACCAAAAATTTTTATTTTTCCGATAGAAAAACTATTTGAATTTTTAATATTCCTTACCTTTTCTTAAAAAGATTAAGGCTGAAAGAACTCCCGTTCTAGTAATGGACAAAGAAACTCATCGTGCGACCATTGTTTTTTTTTCTTTTGAAAATAAAAAAGAAATACATGTTTGGTTTATAAAAAAAAGGGAAAAACAGAGTCTTAAAAAAAGTGAGGGCAGAGTCTAAGTCAAAATAAAAAGAAAGAAATAAGACAACAAAGATACATTGAATTTATAATTTAAATTATTTTGGATGAAATGTAACACCCGTACCAAAGGGGGGGGGGGAAACGTTCATCCGAAGTAACCTTCATGGTACTAATACCACCGATTAGAATTCATATGACAAATAGCTCCTTTCCTCATGACTACTACTAAGACTACTATTATTGCTAAAAAGACCACTCAAGTTTTGGCTTGAAATACTTCGAGGACGATACTTCGTGAAAAGTAAGTCACTGTATCTCACTCCCATGGATGTTCATAATGAGCAGGATGTCAAAGTAGACAGTACAACCTTGTGAGAATAATTATAGCCCTCAAAATCTAAAAGTTCGGTGAACTTTTTTTTGAAAATAGTATATGTACATTATATTTAGTTAACAGTATTTTTGTGCATATTTTCCCTTGTTCTGAAACTTATTCCTTAGAACACTTTTGGGCTGTATTATTCCTTTTCAAAACACCAGGTATTTACGTCGTATATTACCACTCATTCTTCGAAAATGCATGCCTCTGTAATAGTCTATCACTACAATAACTTTTGCAGTAGTGAAGGGTTTAAAAGAGTCGCCTTATTTTTCAAGAAAAAGCAATTATCAAAAGTTTTCCGAAAAACAAGTTATCTGTTAAAGAATGTAAAATGCATTAAATTTATAAATTTAAAAAATATATATTTAATACCAAAACGTTAAAAAAAAAATTTTAGAAAAACTTTTAAAAAAAACTCCAAAAAGAGTAACGATTCCTTTCGATATTTTTGTTACAAGCACTTGTACTTTTGTTATAAAAAAGCAACAGAAAGCATGTGAAATTATTAAATTTAAAAACTAACAAAGTTCAAGTAAAAGAAAAGTATTGCCATATGAACATGAATGAATTCTTATAACATTAATGGATGTTTATAACCCATTTAAATCAATAAGTTTCAGATTGCTCATATGGCTTTAAATTTACATCGCACTAAAAAACAGATATCCAACGTGATTGATATCTTTTGTTATATCTTTCCTGGGAATGATATAGATAACTTTCCACTTTCACATTGAAATTAGATTATATAATTTAAATTGAAGTTTTCTTCAGTTCTAACACTCAATTACCAGCTTTAAAGACATAATTGCAGAAAAAAGAGTGTATTGTTTTTATTACAGACAAAGGGATTTTATTTTAATTTTTTTCTGAATCATTTCGAACAGACCAGCAGTTACAATCTCTATTTTTCATTTTTAAGGTAAAGTCTTAATATAATATTCTTTTGTATATAAATATGTACATTACTTTAAAAAGGAAACTAATACTTAAAATTTTTAAACATTAACCGTCTCTTAAGACCATCTCTTTCAAAATTAATTTCTCATTTATATATACTATATGTAAATGCGCAAGAATACATAATAAAAATCAAAGCATTTAAATGTCTAATTGAAACAAAAAACTATATAAGTCCTATCTTAAAACGCCATATAATTTTTTTTTTTTCAATTTCCTAAAAACTATTATTCAACGTTTTCAGCATCGTCTAAGGCTGAAAATCTTTAAATTTCTATACTATGTACCTTTCACAAAAAAGCGGAGAACCCTGAATAACTTTTGATAATGATCTATAGATAAGATCTTTTCGTTCTGGGACTCAATCTTAATGGTTCGAGAGGGTGACCTCAAATATGCTAATTAATTAATGCAGACGATATTTTAAGTTACAAAATCAAACAGAAATATACTTTCTCTAGCTGAACATACGCTTTTTCGATGTATTCAAATTTCTGACCTCCAAAATATAGGGTGTAGCCGCAATCTGAGAAATATAGTCCCAATAGTTTGGACCCCTTAAATGTTAATTTTACTTTTGTACGTATTACGCAATATCTCGAGAAAATTTAAAGCTATTGCAAAAAATTCGCTCTTACTTTTAAAATTCATTTAACTAAAGATAATTTCTTGCAAAAAATAACTTTTAGTAAATATTTATTATTTTATTTAGTAATAGTCAAAACATTTTAAATTGTAAAGTGCACAAGTTTTACATCATTTTAAAAAATGTAATTTTGCATGGCAAAATACGAAATTCAAGCGAATCAGTCGAATAAAGAAATCGAATTCTAAAAATACGACCTTCTTTAAATTTCGATTTTTCTTAGGAGTGGATTTATTTTTTTCTTTTCTTTTTACTTTGAACATTATCTCTTGCTACGCTCTTAGCAAGTCATCTTCTGGCATGCCGCTTATTTTTAAAAATACCTTAACAGCAAAAGCATACTACCCATTAGTGCATTGATCTATTGCTACGAAAAATGCTTTAAGTTTTTTTTTCAAGCTGGAGGAAGCAACTTTATTCATGAAGCAGCTAATCAAAACAATCGTTATTACGAAATCATTAGATGCACTATCGCACCTTGTGTCCAACGCTTAGGACATAAGTCTCAAAAATACGTGGAAATTCTTTGAAAAATCGAAATATTGAATTTTGAGCTGCGTAAAGTGCTATTTTCATTATTATAAAATAAACTTACACCATTATTTTAAAGATAATTAAAATTTAAAATAAAACACCAATGACTGTTGAATTCTTTACTACAGAAATCTATTAAAAATGTTCTCTAACATATCTTTAATCGCTGTATGTGTGATGACAACATGCATAAAATTGTGCTATATTTTCGATAAGAGGAAAAACAAATCGTGACTAAATATTTTCTTCCTCTTATAACAAAGTGCGTATGCACCTAAATAATATTGTGACTGAATCTGTTTATCATTAATATCAACAAACCGTTTAATCACAACCACGCAAAATGATATTCATTTTAATTTTTAGTTTGCTTTTAAGTAGATATTTGGTTATATAGTTATAATGTTCAGATGTATTTAACATTAGTTTTCATTTTGCATAAATGGAAAATTTTCTTTGTTGAAGGTAATTTTTTTTCTTTTAATTACAAGAAATTATCTCAGAATTTTAAGAATTTCCGTTTCACTTACCTTTTGTATTTTTATTTATGACAGCACGTTTTATTGATGAACAGGAAATAAATAAATATTAATCGGTTTTTTCTTCGTTATAATCCGTATGTTAGATATTTTTTACTTTCTTACACGTATGCAGAAGTTTTTTGTGTCTGTATACAAATATAACGGCTGATGTTTTGTAGTTGTTTATTTCTCATAAGGGTTTATGGAATTCACATAATATCTGTTGAATTAAAGGAATATCGTTTGAAAATTAGTCATTTTCTCATTCCTGTGACGTAAACAGACGAGTTTAGCAAAACATTTGTATTTCAAAAAATCCTAATCCATGATTGATCAAAAATAGAATAAAAGTCAGAATCGATTACAATGTATTTCACAAAATTCTTAATCCATGATTGATCAAAAATAGAATAAAAATCAGAATCGATTACAATGCATTTCAAAAAAATCTTAATCCATGATTGATCAAAAATAGAATAAAAATCAGAATCGATTATAATGTATTTCAAAAAAACTTAATCCATGAATGATCAAAAATAGAGAAAAAAATCAGAATCGATTACAATTGATTACAATTTTATTTTAATTTTCTTGAAAAAAAAAAACTTTCATTCCTGGTTTTGACACTGCTATTTAATATTTCTGAGCAAAAGTGATGAAGTTTCGAGTTTAATTCAATCTAGTGTTATTTTGATTTTCATTGAATTGTTTTACATTTTCGCAAATAATGCCTTTGATTCTTGAAATAAGTAAAAAATAATAATAAAATTAAAACAGCATGCTTTTAAGAAAATGCAATTCTTTTAATTTATGTTTATAAAAAATCTCTTTTATTTGTAGATTTATTACTGTAAATAAAAGAAATAGAATGAGCATTACATACTAAGGACTAAGTAACGTTTACCCAACAATCTCTATAACTAGTAATCCAATTTACTTCATAAATACAACTTTGTTTATTTGGGTATTATAGTTGCAGAATAACACCAGTAAATAAATGTTGATAAAACAATTAAAAGACTTTAAACTTGAAAGTTTTAAAAAAGAAAAATTTTCATACCTACTGTACTTCTATTATTGCTTACGTTTTTCGGGTATCCATAAACTTCCTGTAGCAAAAACTGTTTGAACTTAAAGGAAAACGTGGTTAACTAGTTTGGAGGCGGTGATGGCCAAATAGTGGTTGTTGAAATAATTTGTCTTCAGGAAAATTAATTGAAATCGTTTTAGTAAAAAAATTGATTTATTAAAGTAAGAATCGGTAATTTTAAAATGGTTCCATTTTTAAAATACACAAATCATAAAGAAAAGAAAATCTCTCAAAGGAATCAATGCTAAACACTCTCCCACATCGAGAGTTTTTTTGATAGCATGAATGATTGTAAACGGTTGGGACTGGGAGGCCCGCAAATGCACCCCCAGTCGCCACAAATTTGAAATTGAAAGTGAATGAATTTATTCCTAACGGACCCAGAACCATGGAAAGGAGATCCCAAATTAGCGAAATATTGAAATATAACATAGCCAAAAATAAAGCCAACCCAGCATAATCAATATTAGGTTTGAAAATACCTTGGCGATCGAGCATCGCCAACAAGACTGTGAAAATTTTTGTAACCATGTAACTGAAACATACTTGCGGTAAGAAATTAATAATAAAGAGTTATAAATAGAATTTTGTTTCCTATTAGGTGCGGCAGTGAATTAATGAGTCTACATTAGTAATAAAATACAAAAAGTTAGCCGTTACATTGATCGATAAGAAAAGAATAAAATATTTCATGCTCGCTATTATAAAGTTTAACTTATTGATTTAATTTAAATGTAATTCAATTATAATATGATAGAGAAATAAGTTTAAGTAATTAATGATATTTTAAAATTTAGGAAATATGTAATGCCAATTGTGGCATCACAATTGGAAATTCTTATTGCATGAAATTGAATTTAATAAGTATTTAATCAATGATAAAACAAAAATAGAAAAATGGTACGAAGGATTTGCACTTTGGGGTCAATTCGAATTTTCATTAATAATCAAAACTTCTAGTTTAATTAACTTAGAGTCTCTGATTCAATTTGAAATGCTTAATATTTCTGTACAAATCGATTTAAATACTTTATAAAGGTATGAAAAAAAAACTTTACAAAATTAAAAAAGATTCTCAAATTTTTTTTATGCTTAAAAATTATTTCTAAAAAACAAATAGAATGATAATTATAAACAAAAAGGAATTACGCAACTCCAAGAGACTCTTTTCACTGTGATTCAAAGTAATTTATATACTATTAAAATTTTTGTGGCAAATTAAACCGTAATATTGTTGAAATCTGGTACAAACTAAATATATTGCTATTCTGTGAAGTTATAATTTATATACATTCGATTAAAACAATTCCCTCTTAGAATATATGGAATTCAATACAATCATTGTGGTATATAATTGTATGTTGATGATGCTGGTTTACCATACCGGCAAATTAAGTTTCAAAAAATTTAGGAGGATATTATTTTTTTCTTTATAATTTATCCCATATAACACAAGTAGTGCAGTACAATAACGCGCAATATTTGTGTGCCAAAGCTTATAATACGGCAGTGCTAAGGTTTTTCGGAATTTTTAATCACCATTTTAAAAAAATAAAAGCCCTTTTTTTCACAAAAGCTTTTAAAGGCTTAAGATATTTATTTTAAATTTAAAAACTTTTGTTAAAATTTTAATGGTAATTACTGACATTTATGGGTAATTTTATGGGTACATTTTATGGGTAATTACTGAATTTGAATTCAGTAATTATAAATTATAAACTGAATAACAAGAGCAAATTATACAGTTAATTTCTAATGCTTCTAATACTGTAATTGATTTAAACTTTGTAATGAATTTTGACTAAAATAAAAGAATTTTGGTGTAAAATAGTACATTATGCTTAAAATAAGAAAAAACTCTTTCAGTGAAAAATTTTTGATTAAAAATAATAATTTTTGATATTAAACAATATCGTATTAATGTTTAACATTGTTAATGATATGATGATATTCAACTGACAATATAATTTATGTCACACAGAAATATTTCAAGAGAGGAGTACAAGACAAATGCGAGATTATTGAAACAAATTACACAAGTCTGCAAAACTTGTGATATTAAAAGTTTTTGCAATGTAATGACTGATTTTTATATTGTTTGTTGAGCTTATTTTAAGAATGGTATACATTTTTATTGGCCAAAAAAGGATTTCTTACTTGCTCAGCTTGATTATATAGAGAAAAATGCCTGTTTATCCATTCTAATGGCAGAAGAAACTACATCATTACTTTATTAACAACTTAGGTATTATTCTAAGTATATTTTTACGCTGATTTGAATTAGATCACTCTCAAGTCTATAAAAGGTTTGTAAACTAATTAAATGAATTAATTTATGAATTAATGACTTACAAAAATTAATCAACCGTAGTTGTTATCTGGACAAGTGGAAGTACTGTCTCCTATGTATTGTTCACGTTAAATTGAATGAATTATATGGAACTAACAGTTTAAAAGTTATGAAAGTTTTTATAAGTCAAAATGACAATTTTGTGCGAATACCTAGTTATACGTGCATTGCTATATTGCTGTATATACCTATACCTACATTAATATATATGCAAGTGATGAACTATTCCTTGTATATTTCTTGACGTTAAATCTAATAAAAAGAAAATTAAATCAACAGAGCTAAAATTTTAGAAGCTATAATGAGTTCAGACGTAGACGGTTATGAATCGAATTCAAAATATTCACACACAAAATCCTCATTTCATATAAATTATTTAGTCTATTAACATAATTTAGATTTCAATGGAATTTGCATAAAAATATACATAGTAAACAATACCTCACATGTTATTGCATATAACGCATAAATAGGTCTATAAGTCAGAACAAAGGGTATAAACGAATACAAAACGTATATAACGACTTATAAAAGGAAATATTGATTCCTTTTAGATAGTAATCTAAAGGATTGGTGCACTGTAAAAAATTCCGTATCAAATTACGGTAAAAGGTTCCGGGACTTAGGTTGCATCATCCGCAAAATCCATTTTTATGGTAAAATATTACACCGTAATTTGTTCAGTAATATTTATTTAATTGGAGTGATTCAGTGATTTTACGATAGTTATTACTGTAAAAATTACGGTTTATCAGATTTTTTTATTCTGTAACATATTCCAGTAAAAATGGCTTTTATGGTAAAAAGTACCGGCACACTGATTGCCGGTATTTTTTACCTTAATTTGAATCTTGGATATTTTACAATGTTCTTAAAAAATCAACATTTTGCTTTTTGTTTTGAAATCAGCATCTAAAAATCTATCAAAATAATTTATTGATTTTTAAACGCTTTTTACGTTGTTATGCTATGTAGGTATTGAATTTAAATCAAACTTTTTACTTCTCTTTACCGACTGTCATGACCTTGAAAATGTTATCAGTTAAAGGGCAACATTCAAAAAAGTTTATTGACACGGCAAAAACAATAGAGGAAGCATTGAATTACTATTACAATAAGAACAAACTTGTAAAAACATGCATGAAATGAAAGAGACCCGTCAGAGAATAACGCATAAAAGGAAATTTTGAACTATCGTCATATTGCCTCAACCACACCAACTTGGATGAGTGAGTAATGTCCAACAAGAATAATTTGAGCAATAAATGTCAGTGTTTCTATTTTCTCGACATAATCTTAAAATTTGGAAACAGTTGGTTTGAAAAGTCACTTTACAACTTGAAGATTTTATTAATGAAAATATATATAAAAGTAATGTGTGGGGGAAAGCGTTGTACCTTGGTACAGTTTAGAAACATTTTTTTTTTAATTAGGGTACAGATTATAGTAGAAATGACAGCAATGTCTTATTGTTTACCATTTATAGAATCTATAACCAAATAATAAAATAATTTATTACTCCCTTATAAAATATGTAATAAATTATTTTTATACTCTTGCAAAGTATCAAGGTACAAATATCAAGGTATCGAAGTACAAAATATCAACACTAGTACAACACCATGTGATTACTTCTGACGCACTGAAGACCCTATTGCTGAGTGTGCTGGCAATTTAAATATTATTTCTTCTCCTTCTATTTCATATATAGTTTTATTTCCTTAAAAGAAAGTGTTCATTCCCAATTACACAAATTATTCCTTAGATACAACACATTGAAAAAAAACATAGCCCGTAAAGGTTTTTGCGGTTAGTAGTTCATATTAAATAAGCATACCATTTAGTACAACACAATTAAAAGTTCAATACACTATCTTAATTTTTAACACTAATCAATTAGGAAAAAATAGAAAAAATAAATGAAATAATAATTATTTACTTTTCAATGAAATGCTTTCATTTTATTTTTTAGCTCCCACGAATCAGATTTAAAAGTTGCTAGCTGTGATCCACTAACTCTTGGTGGCAAAGGAAGCAACTACGTCAGATTAGTTTTGGTAGTCACCAGTTGATGGCAGGGCTATGCTGTTCGTCCCAAAGATACAACGCTCTCCTCTATTAATTATTTTAAAAAAAATTATTGCTATTTATTAATTTCAGTTTTATTTATTTCCAGGACGTCGTCAGCCATCAACAGACTCGGCACAATGGTTAACTACAACTGAAAAGGAGACATTCAATCAAACAAATGCAGTTGAAAATCTTTCTTTACTATTAAGAGATTAAAATATATTTTATGCTAAGTTTACTTCAAACGTTTATTGAATTTATATCTTTCTTACGTGATTCTCAAATCTAACTGTATTTCAAATTCTCCATTGGCGACAATTATTGAGAATTTTATTATCAATTATAAAGAGCACACTTTGTTTTCAGTGGTGGACTTTTCGTAGTTTAAAGAAATAGATTAAACAAAATGTTTGTGATACTATCGTACTTGGGCAATTCATCCAACCACAGTCAAACACCTAAGCCCTATTTTTAGGGACCTATTTTTTTAATGGTCACGTTTGGGGCAACCTAATGGTATTTTATGCAAATATTAATATAATCCCACTACTATCTATGCTTATCATTTTCTTACACATTATTCGCTAAAGAATCAAATGACACTAATATTTAGTACATATAAAAGGTACTAAGATGCCTTTTGCTTTAATAATGTTTTAAAGTTACGGTTGATGTTTAAGTCAAAATCATTTATTAAACACAGATTTTGTATTATCTAAGCAAATGTTTATTGACTAAATTCAAAACCAAATGAGGTAAAAAGGAAAACGTGCTTAACAATATGTTTTTATTTTTTTAAGAAGAGAAAAAATAGCGTGTTCTTATTTATTTTTGTTTTGAAATTGTATTTATTTGAGAAAAAAAAATATTGAAATTTCAATCTTACAGCAAAATCTAAGGAACTATCGAGATCTGAACAAATTAGGCATAAAATAAATATATTCTTATGTTTGTATTCATAAAAATACTTTTGGGAACGAAATCAATGATCAATTAATCAGTATTAATCAACAATACGAAATCAAGGAGCAAATCTTAAAGACTTAACCCACACAATTAATTAAGTTAAAACAATTCCTTTTTTTTATTATTTGTTGCCTTTCTCGGGAGTTTTATGATACCAAATTAAATAAAAAAAATTTGTGCGATGTTCACCTTTCAAAAAAATTTATTAATTTCAGTATCTTTGATATAATACTGTTGCTTGAAGTCAACCAGTACATATCCCTTTCAGTGGGAAGTAAAATCCTTTTTCTACAGAGGTATCTTGGTACCAATATTAGCATATTTAGTACTTATTAAATAAACACCAATTAACATAAAAGCAGGAGCATACATTACTAAAACTAACTAAACATCATTGGCATCAAAAATAATAAAGCTATATTCTATGGTTTTTCTTGATTAAGAAGTACATTTTCTCACTTAATTTAGCTTTTTAGTTCAAAACTTATTTTTTCTTTTCTTTGTGTAGCTGTTACCGGCAACGTATGAAATCCGGCATTGTATAGAATGCCTAATATTAGCCGGCAAAGTATGAAATGATTTATATTTCACACACTGCCTAGGCATTCTATAGAATGCCAAATGAGAAACCGGCAAAGTATAAAATGCATCTCCGATTCGTCAAAATGTCCTTCAAAAATGACAAATTCAAAACGTCATCCGATTTGATATTAATTTATTCGTGGATATAATTACATTTATTCGATATTTTAATACTTACTGACGATAGACTACATTTATTCGATATTTTAATACTTACTGACGATAGATTAGAAGAAACATCTGTGTTTGGAGTATCGGGCAACTATATACCGGGCAATGGCACTTGACCTTAAAAAAACATCAGTGTAGTGTAGGATATACTGGGCAAATGTATACCGGGCAGTGGCACTAGACCTAGTATATATTTCGGACATTTACCAAAGGTCTAGTCATACTAGGTCTATTAAGTGCCATTGTCCGGTAAACACTACACTGATGTTTTTTTAAGGTCAAGTGCCTTTGCCCGGTATACCCTACACTGATGTTTTTTAAAGTCAATGTGTGCCAATGCCCGGTAAAGATTGATACACTAATGTTTCTTCTAATCTATCGTCAGTAAGTATTAAAATATCAAATAAATGTAATTATATCCACGAATAAATTAATATCAAATCGGATGTAAAAAATATTTCGGCATTCACCAAAGCAACTATGTGATTGTCAACATTCACCGGTGAAAGTCAACAACCACCGATTTCGGTCATTCACAGAAACACTCACATAATTTACATAATAACCTCATCAGGACGTTTATTTCATACCTTGCCTAAATAGCATTTGGCATTCTATAGAATGCCTAGGGAAAGTATGTAATACTTCTTACATTTCATACTTTGCATAAAAACATCCGGCATTCTATACAATGCCGGCGTTTCATACTTTGCCGGTAACATATCTATTACCAAAATAAAGCATCATTAGCATCAATAACAAAAGGGTAACGGTTTATATAAACAAATAAGTACACGTCATTAATTTAGCAATATAATACAATTGCTTATTTTAATCTGTACCTTTTATCAAAACTAATTAATTATAATTCTCGAAAACACTTAGTAACGACACTAATATTTTTATAATCATTTTTTGCAAATGAACTAATATCGGTACTTTTTTCAATAACTGTAAAAGATCGCAAAAACAATTTTTGAAGCCAGCAATAAGTAATTAAATGTGATATTAACTTATTCTGGTATCGCCAGTACTGTGATAATGAGGACCTATTATACCAATTTATATACTGTGGTATTAAATTTTTTACCGCCCTCCGAAACAGATAAGTATATCCATACATCACCATCCTACACATCCATGGCGCCTAACATACAACTTTTATTTTTTTATTATTCGGTGTATATTCTGGTGCAGCTTCATACTATTGAATTTACCATAATTTAAGTTAGCAGTTCGACACACGAAAAAAAAAAGATTAACTATGTGTATAGTATTACTCAAAATGTGACGTTCAGAATTTTCCAAAATATGACTAATCCATGGCTAATAGATAACGTATATTATATATCATTAGTTTTTCTTGAGTTTTCACTAATTAAGTTTATAGAAACACGCTATATAAGAGTATCAATATAAGAAGTTTCATATACCTTTTTAAATGCGAATTTGTTGACGTGACTTCTATCGTTGCGAAATTATTAACATTGATTTCCCTAATAATAACGTAACGTAGAAAACTTAAGATAAAGAAATTGCGATAAATCTAATTTTTTATTGATTAGAGCTGCAAGCTAACAAATTAGTCACGTAAAATATTTATAGAATTCTATGGAAGTCTCTTTAATTGGGATGAAGCACGTGAACCGGTGATTCAAGGGAGTTTAAAAGTAAATAGGTCCGCCACGTTTTATATACATCAAATTTGATTCACATCGATTCAGTATTGCGGATTTGTATAAGGTTGTTACATGCACATACATGTAAACAATCTGATTTATTTAAATAGATTTCATGCTCAGGAACATGATTTCAGAAATTACTTATTATAAAAACTGTTAAGATACGTGTAAAAATTCTACAATAAAATTACTTCTGTAAAACACTTCCACAAGACGCTCAACGAAATTACTCTAATAAAAATAATTAGAACTTAATATTAGTTTCCATTGCTTACACAGAGACAAGATCGACAGAGAGGGCAGGAAAGTATCCAGGAATTGGAAAAACTGCCCAGATACGCAGCTGACTCCATGCCACATCTTTGAGTGTCCAGCAATATTGTCGATGAAATGAACCAGACCCGTTACATACACATACATGTAAGCAATCTGATTTATTTAAATAGATTTCATGCTCAGGAAAATGATTTCAGAAATTACTTATTATAAAAACGGTTAAGATATGTGTAATAACTCTACAATAATATTACTTCCGTAAGACACTTCCACAAGACCCTCAACAAAATTACTCTAATAAAAATAATTAGAACTTAATATTAGTTTCCATTGCTTACGCACAGACAAGATCGACAGAGAGGGCAGGAAAGTATACAGGAATTGGAAAAACTGCCCAGATACGCAGCTGACACCATGCCACATCTTTGAGTGTCCAGCAATGAGTGCTAATCTGAGAGAAATAGGTGTCTTGCCGTCATTGATAGACCTTTATGACGATAATATCAAGTAAATCAAGACGCATTGAAACATTTGATTCGGCTATGTCATAGACACGAAAAAAAAAAGTTTTTTCCCTTCGTTTTTTTAGTTTTTTCCTTTCGACAATTTTATTGACATATTTAGTTTTTATTTTTCATTTTAACATAAATTTATTCCGAAGGAGTTTAATAAACTTTCAGTTTTTTCCGCTGTACTTAGTACAAAGAATGGTAATGTTTTAAAATATAGCCACTTGCTAAAAAATGCCCCACTACGAACAGAAACTATTAAATAAAAACATGTGTGACCCTGAATTCAAAGCGATTGTTTTTCATGATACTCATGTTTAGCTTCTAAAATGTTTTAACAAAAAATTCAATAATCAAAAGTTGTAAGACAAATGGCAAATTACAGAATAAACCTTCAATCGAAAATTAAAATGTTAAAATCTTTTGTAAAAAGATTTATGTTTACAAAAAAAAAGATATAAGCATCAAATCTCTATATTGTTTCAAAAGAATCTCAAACATGGATGTTATTTGAAGAAGCATTTGGCTGTAAAGCCTTAAAATTAAAAAGAAACAAAGAATCGACTTCATAGGACGACTCCCATAAATTCACCACATGACCGAGGGGGCTGGAAAACAGCAGATATTAGATACAGGACAATTCCATGAAAGTGACAACTTTCAAGCGAAATTTTTTTTCATGAATTGCATATTTTGATTTTAAAAATATGATCAAAAATAGCCAAAGTCTACTTATTCATGTTTCATTTTTGATAATTTTAAGTTTTTTGAATCTAGCAGTATTCTAAAGTAATCACGTGGCTGACAAGTGAATTGTTCACATTTCTGCTGAAATTGTTTTCTTGAAAAACACTTATAAAATAAAATAAATGAATCTTTCTTTTGAAATATTTTGATAAAATTATGCATATAGTACAAAATTTAAACATTTGAAACATAGAGTTTAAAAAAAAATACTAAAACATGTGACGGAATTACACAAAAAAAGTTACTTTTATTTTATATATTAAACTTAAAATGACTTAAACTGCAACTAAATTTCAGAATGAAGA